GTACAGCTACTAAGGGAGTAGGGAGCAAGGCCTCATCTGTACAGCTACTAAGGGAGTAGGGAGCAAGGCCTCATCTGTACAGCTACTAAGGGAGTAGGGAGCAAGGCCTCACTCCCTTGCACACTTGCCATCTCCACTCTGAAAGACAGCAGCCTCTTTATCCTTACACTTGTTGAAGGGAGGGAGTACAAAATGATTCGGAACAAATCCTTGGCCCAAAAAACACCACGCAGTCTGACACCCAGACCCCGATTAAGCCCCCTCCCAGCCCCCCACCCAGCGGGGTTGTAATCCACCTATAGCTGCCCACCGCTCGTGCCCGAAACAGGCCATCTCTCACCAGCTGTTTGGCGGCTTTGGCTGCACGGGGGAGGGTAGCACAATGGGGTCGCGGCAAGAAAACAAGGGCAGGGGCAGCTGTGAGCCGACAGCAGGCCATCACATGCTCGGCTGCCCAAGAACACCATCCTATTAGGGGCTGGCATGACATCTCCGGCCACCCTTACGGACTGGCTGTCATGGACGGACACAGTGTGACCTCACAGGTCCCTTTTTTCTTGATTCTGGATGAGTCAGAAGCTTCACCCCCTTTTTTTAACCCACGGTGTCACCTCATTCCTGCTACGCAACCCGGATGTCTCCACCCCGAAGGGCTCCGAAAACAGCTTATCGCAGGGAAGATAATTAAACGGCAGTGGAGTATGATTGCTCATTCATTTGCAAATCTTAAATCCGTCTTATGCAAAAAGGCCCGGAATGGAGAGCGCAGAATGAGTGTCACTACCCAGGCGCGAAGAAAGTGTTGCCATGGTTTCCCTTCAGACGTGTCCCTGGGAGGCAGACAGCAGAGGAGCCGCATGCCTGAGCAGAAACACAAAGACCGGAACGGCCGACTGACACCACAACCAGCCCGAGCGAGCCCCTTTCGGGGAGTTTTCTGACACGGAGCTCAAGGAAAATGACAAACATACAAATGGGCTGTGGCACCGGAGACGTGTGAGTATTCAGTGTTTGTGTAACAGAACATGGTATGTGCAGCATCATCGTCCAGGAGGAGAGAAAAACCCATCTCCCCATGCCAGCAGAAATGCTGACCTCGCTATTCGCTAACACGTACGCGCTAACAACGTTTTTTTGCTAGCACGCATATGCTAACTATGCTAGCATGCATTTGCTAACGGTGCTCTGTGCCAGCGGTAGCTTGCTAATGGTGTCGTCGGCTAGCACGCGAGCGCTAACGATGCTATCCATTAGCATCTACTGGCTAACTGTGCTAAGTTTTAATAGGGCATGAACAAATGAAGCCTGATCCCAAGGATTTTTTTACAATTAATTATGGTTTTCACACTTCTTTAGCTTTACCACACAGAGCTATACAGAAAAGAACCCTTTCTAGGCACAAAAAAATCACATCGGTCCACAAATATAAGTCTGTGACATTTTTAATGTCTGCCCCTGTGATCCTGTACCCAGTCCCAGACACATCTTACGTAAGGATGCATCCACCCACCCCCCATCAAAACAATTCAATGTGTTGACCATCTGCAATCAGCCAGCCCACAGCTCCATGATGGCTGACTCCCACACATGCATGGGGGGTGGGGCCAGGTTCCATTAGGTCACATGGCCATGAGGCTGATCGCCATGGAAATGCCCTGATCCACTTCATGGCCTAATTCAAGCAAGCAAGCAACAAATAAACAAATGGGAAACTAAATTAAATTCTAGACATCTAAAAGCTAAACAATTCTACTAAGAACAACGATAACGGGGTGTCATTTTATTACAATTACACAATTACACAGTATTATCTGAAGCAATGCACAAAACCTTCCAAAGGGGAAACCCCCCCCCCCATCAGCAAAATCTATCAAAGGGGATCCCCATGAACTGGCAAAATATACCATCACTACTTAGGGTAGCTGTCACTGTGAAGAAGGTCAGACGCTACTGATCTGAAGCAAACTAGAGAAGCCAGGCCTTTGTAAGTAACCACTGCAAACCATCAAATCCCCCCAGACTTGGACAAATCAACCTCCGCAATCACTAGTTTACTAGCAGCTCCTCTCCAGCTGAAACTGCAGGAAAGACGTGTGCAGTGTGACACAGCCCGGGTAATACAGGCCACCGTGTTGCTTTTTAAAGGCACACGTTCGCTATAATTAGGCTGCTAACAGCAAACCAAAGACAGGACATGTCTGTGCAAGGTGACGGGCCAGCGGCAGGCCGCTCTGCCACCGAGTCATAACCGGGCACCCGGACGGGGGATTCAGCAGGCTGGACAGCCTCATGAGAAGACATGGGCACTGGCTTAAGTTCAATCCGTGGGGTGGCCGTAAAGGAAAGAGGCCTGGCTCTTTCAGATGGAGTTAGCCAAAATATGCAAGGTATCCTTTAAGAAATGCACAGACGGGAAAGGAGAGCAGGCAGGTGGCTCACTTTGATCCATCTCCAGGTCCTGAATTACAGCGTAGGGTGACTGTCCGCATTTCACTCGTGAACGTAGATCCCACAACGATAATGGTTACATAACTATTTCTCCAAGGCTTTCCAGCGGAAGACCTACTGTGGGCTCCCACTAGCCACATCCGCCCTGCCAGAAACCTTATTTCAGCTTAATAAACAAGCAGAGGGAATATCATCAATTATAGTATGTTTTTAGAGGGTTTTTTTTTAACCCAGACAAGGTTATTCATGCAAATCCTCCCCTATCCCCATAAATGGTTACCCCCAGGACTACCATTTCCAGAGTTCTCATAGAAGGGCACTCACACTGTCGTTAAAAAGCAGGGAGAAGTCTCAAAAAAAAAAGAAAAACAGAAAAACCCACTGAGGTCCTATGACAATGCTGCTGTGGTCTGAGATCAGAGAATGAAGTATCTCTGAAGCTTTAAGGGAAGTGATGTCATTCTGGAAGTGATGTCATTCTTTGAAACCACATCTCACATCAGAGCTGTGTTCGTTTCTCTCTAATGAAGAACACAAAATCTACATGTTGTGATGTCAGGGACCAACTGCTGTTTGCCTGCATCCCAGCCACAATGGAGAGACATTTTTTGGTTAAGTTCCTTTCGGTTAAGATTCCAGAAAATGTTCTGCTATACTTCACAGTTTAGCAATACAGAAAATTATTAAAATAGAAAAGTATATGAAATTTTAATCTAAGCTTTGATGACTCTAAGCAACACTAAGTCATATTTCTATGCACCCACGGGTATCCCATGAAAATGTCTCTGCTGACATAACCTTAATCCATTATTTTCATTTTTATTATTATTACTATTATTAAAACTACGATTGCCCCAGTTGCATAACTGCCAATGTTACGATTCACAATTTACAATGATGATCATCGTTTTACAAAAAGGTGGTAATTTGGGTTAAGAGCCGCGCTTAAGGTCCAAGAGCGAGGGCCCATCACAGGAGCTAAATATGCTGCTGAAGGGTCGGCTCCGATTGTTTGCCCACCACACCATCTGCCGTACATCCTGGTTTGGCCTGGCCACGGTAAATTGTGTGGTCAACTGTGATGAGAGCCATAGTCAACAGGGCATGCTTCACTCATTTCAGAAGGGCTTTATTTTACAGCGTGACTTTCTTATACGACCGGGTGGTACCTCTGCCTTCACCTGTGTGGATTTTGGCCATAGCTGTGCCATTAAGGGGTGGTTTAGGAGAAGATCACCTTATGGAAGACCTCGGAGCTGCATCTCAGCTTTAGTATTTCAGTGAAGTTCTTGTTAAGTAATGCCCTCGTTCATTAATATTTAAGCCCTCATGCATATTTATGCGTGAATTATTTTCAATTACTGAACACTATCCAAAGACTCATTGATGATAATATTAAGGAACACTGAAGGTTATGTATGTGAATAATGAAAGAGTGCTTTCATCAACATAGTCAAAGCAATCATTTCTTTCCACGTTATTTTCTCATATTCGGATAGGAAAATGAAAGTGTTGCTCTAGAACAAGCCTACAATCATGTCGACTCGCATATTGCAAATATCGCCGTACTTGTTGAAAGCTCGGTTATCATCCACTGATGCTCATCGGTCAATACAGCTGTTCATTCTGGATCTTCACTCTCGTTTCAATGTGCTCCACTTAATAAAGGAAACATTGCACAGCGTTTTAAGCAACCCGATTATCAACCTATCCATAGGCCTCCGAAATTTCCCTCACCGAGGAAGGGCGATGGGGGAAAAAATCTTATACACCCAATACAGGAATAACGGGATTTGTACAAGCCGCACGGCATGATTCGTTTCTCCATAATCTCTACGAAAGGAATCTCGAAATTAACAAGGATCTGGTTTCATTTCACGTAAAAACCGATAAAAGCAAAGATTACTGCGTTTTACGCAGCTATTCTGACCACTCCAACCGCCAATACTACTATCACACGGCAAAACGCAAAACAAAGACACCTAAATATATAGAGTAGTAGGCAATTTAATCACCGCCGATTACATGTGTTAAAACAGAACACTGGCTAATATCTACATTAATACAGCATTTTATAGCTTTGCGTTGTAATGTGGCTCCCTTGCGCAGCACGCCGTCCATTGCAGCCCGCGTATCGCATCCTGCTATAAGGGATCAGGGTGGACTCGATCGGAATACGTGTTTCAGCACCATTGTACGAACATCGCACGGATCCACATAAGAGTCCTTCCCAAAACCCGTCTCGCGCACAATGACAATAAGCCTTCCGGCGTGATGCTCCACAGACAGCCAGCGGACAATAAAATCCGATCGAAATGAGACTGACGCTGCAAACGGCTGCAGGTTTCACACGCACGGCGTAATGCGCGCATCCCCTGCGAAATGCATGAAGCAAGCGAGCTTCGGGGCTGGGTAAACTCCGGATGGATGAGAAAGAAATCAAAAACACCCTCGGTTTACCTGTTGGTGGTCGGCGTTTTTTTTCTCGTCCTATATTGATTTTGAAAATTCTCCTCTCTCGCTCTTCAGATTTCGGTTTCAACAGCGACACATGAGAAATCCGGCGCCGGAGATACGCAGAGGAGTGATTTTTGCATCACCAGCTAGCAGGAATGGAGGGCACTCCAGAAATGTGGGACCCCTTCTTTCTGCATGTGTGTTTCCCTGACAGCGTCGCCTTTTCAGGGAGCGATCTGCAGCACAGAGACCATCGCGCATGCGCGCCCGGCGCCCACCTACCCACCCGGCCGGCGGAGCGCGGAGATCCGCACACGCATGTACGCTCCGGTCACACATGGGGCCGAGGCGGATTCGTCACACGTTCGACCGCATCTCGAAAGGGAATAATAAGAGGCACCCCAGTATTGAGGCGACTACGTTATCTGAGGATCTCCTAATTAATGCTGGAATTATCGTTATGATTTTGTATTCTTTATTCTATAGGCGACACAAAAGACCAAGACGATGCAATCAATAGCATCTATTCTACACTGAAATTTATTTTTTTAATCAGACGAAGCAAAAACAATGACTTTTTTTTTAAAGCGCTCGTTTACTAACAGATTAATGTTGACCCCAATGCAAATTTAATTATACAACGACAGTCAAATAATACATCACGGAGGACGCGGTGACAACATGTATCCCACATCCGCACCGAAACCAAGATTTTTGTGATTGTCAGTTGTTTAAAACAACGAGGATGTTAATTAAACGCATTCTATAATTTCCTTTCAATTGTTTTTATTATTCCTAATTTAATAGCGAATTCCATCCATCCTACAACGACTTGGTGGGTGGTGGTATAGGGGGTGGAGGACTGGAGCTAATTCCGGGTAGAATATGGCATAAGGCGGTACACTTTGGAAGGGATGCCAGTCCAGTGAAGGGCACACATGTGCACGCTCACACGCAGTCACGAGCTATGGGCAAAGTTGCTAAATATCCCACTGGAGTGTCTTCGGACTCTAGGGGGATGCAGGAGTAACAGAAAGAAAACTGTCTAACACAGGGAAGACACGCGAGCTCCTCAAACACAGAGTGAGACAACAGTGCTGTCCTAAATAACAAACATCTAAACACAAAATTAAAAATAATCCAGGAAATAGGTCCATGCCTCATTTTCTTTCTCTTCAAGTGTAAGTGGCCTAAAGTTGGGGGTTTAGTTATTTGTTAATCCAAAGCTACCTTGAAGTTAAACTAGAACCGGGCATTCATCTGTCCCATGCGATGACTGTCCGCTTTTTTATATAACGACATGATTTGAGCATCATGATGCGGTGTTGGAGCGGAAAGCGAGGTCGCAGCCAAATTCCCGTCAATCTAGAGATGACTAATAAATATCAGTCGCATCTCTTCATTATGTGATTATTTCATATTTCACCCTCTGTACTTTACCTGTCTCCTTGGCACATTCTTACACCATCATCCTACTTCAATATTCACAAGAGGAAACATTAACTTTGTAATATTATGCACCTGTCCCATAATTCCTCGCACCCATGGTCTGACACTTTGACTAATCTCACACCTGGCCTTTGCTGCAACTGTCCTCTCTCTCTCTTTCTCTCTCTCTCTCTCTCGGCGGTAGTGCTTGTAACTGATTGAGGATATGGATTCACCATAAACCTAAATCTCATTCTTTATCTGGTGCCTTTACTGGTTACCAGTGAGTTCTTTACAGTTGGCTGGAGTATCTGTAAAATGGGTTGAGCACCCCCGCACCGTTACCGGCTCCTCTGTCCAGCGCTGCGTGGTTGCTTGCGTGCTGCTCAACCCTGCGTATGGTAGCACGGGTACTCTGATAATTTTTTTCTACCAAGCTGGTCATTCTTTTAACCAGGAGAGTTCCCAGATCGATCGCGAACCTATGATGGGGACTCACAGCTTGATGCTTTGTATTACAGTTAAAATGCTCTTTCACCACTAGGTGGCAGCGCAGTCCTGCAGCTAGCAGGGATTGGCTGTCAATTTGATTAAATTCCATGCCTGTCCACTTCTTTTTAACCTAAATTTTTAGCAAGGGTAAAGTCAGGGATGATAACAGGGATACTGATTTACCAACAGGGCTGTAACATATTCTGGCGTCTGTTTTCCTCAGATATAATTAATTTTCCACCTACTAATAATGTGAATATGTTGTATTTGATATGACACGTTGATTTAAGGAAGGTCAACAGGACAATTGTTTGGACAAGGAAATTACTGCTCTAAATAAATGCTACAGTGTAAGAACCCAGAGTAGAGATGTTGGCTCTATTTTTGCTAGTTGATTTATTATTAATGTTACTGCCTGATTCGGCTTCCTGGATGTACTCGGGTTATTCCAACAAGCCAGTGAGATAAGAAAATCACAAATGTGATGCACATGCATGCGGTCATACATTCTTGCACACATTTTTTCACACACACACACACACACACACACACACACACACACAGACATACACCAGTCGCTGGTGTACCGAGCGCGTGGTGCTGTCTGTGGTTCTGAAGTCATCGTTTTACTATTCAAATGGTGCATTCGAGACAACAACTAAGGTTCCAGATACAATGACAAATAACAGATCGTGCAGCACCACAGTATCACACCAATGATACCCAAGGGTGGACAAGAACATATAAATAGTGTCTGGAATCATGAAATCTAAGCAGGTTCTACGTCACAGCTCATAGTTGTGAGTTCAAATCTAACTTCAGCACTGTGCAGGTGTTCTGCATTTCATATGAATTTTTGACTGCAAATTATACCTTTTCTGAGTTTGTGTGTGTGTGTGTGTGTGTGTGTGTGTATGTCAGCACCCAGCAGTCTTATCTCCATGTTCTGCCCTGTTTTTTTGTCCTGGATCACTGCAAACCTCTATTATGTAAACCAGTGTTTCCCAACTCGGGTCTCAGGGACCCACACATGGTCCACGTTTTTGATCCCTCTCAACTTCCTCCTGGGAACTGGAAGGGAGCAAAAACATGAACTGTCTGCGGGTCCTAGAGGCTGGATTGGGAAACATTGATGTAAACAGTTACCAATGGCAGGAAGGTCGCAGAAATGTCCATTGGTTTTCCTGCATTGCATTTAATAAACCATAACACACACACACACATACAGTCAGGTAAACATATTTTTATGGGGGCCGCTCATTCTTTTCTATGGGAAAAATGCTAACGCTAACTATGACAACATTACCTACCCTGCCCTAACCATAAGTAACAAAAGAAAATACAAGAGTTTTTGCATTGCAGTCAAATTTTTTGTTAAATTGAGTTTTCCCTTATGGGGACCAGGAAACTAAATAAATGCTACAGTGTAAGAACCCAAAGTAGAGATGTTAGCTCTGGTCCCCATAAGGGAAAAAAAACGGGTATTCTCATCATGTTGTGGGGACATTGTGTCCCCATAAGGTAATGTATACCTGCTTGCACACACACACACACACACACACACACACACACAATCATTATCACAGCTGACAGACAGAGACAAGAGCAACTGGCAGGGAGGCCATGCTAACCAGGAAAAAATTCTCGCCACACGTTGTAACAAACCTTTAATAAACAGACAGCAGCATCACAATAAAAAAAAAAATGAGAATGCGGTTCTGGCAACTCCTCATGACCCCAGCGGCGCCATGACGAGTAACGACAGACGGAAGCAGGAGCACAAACACTCAGCACGCACATGCGTAACTGTATTGGCCGTTGACGAATGGCAGCATTAACAGAGAAATGAGACCCAGCCTTTACACTCCAGCTGGAAGAATTATGAATAAATATATAGAAGTATAGCCCCCCCCCTGCGTGTGTGCGGCTTGCAGGCTCTCCCCATGCCGGGTTCCTCTGGGTACTCCAGTTTCCTCCCACAGTCCAAAGACACAAAGTTAGGCTACCTGGCATCTCTGTGAGCTTTGTGGCTGTGAGTGTGTGTTCCCTGTGATGGATTGGTTTCCCATCCACGGTGTTTCCCTGTCTTGTGCCTAATACTGCTTAGAATAAGCCACAACCCTTCCCCCCCACCTCCCTGACCAGGATAAGGGGCTGGTAGATAGATGGAATTCAGAAGTATATCCCTTTACATATAATACACTAATACACCATTTGTTTTGTGTGGTCAGTGCTTTGTAAATTTCCTCATTGTATTTCGGGGATTGTCCAAATGACAGACCTTCCTCTTCCTCTGCCAGTCTTCCTCTGCCCAGAGCTGTTGCTCTTGCATGTTTGATCTATGAAGCATTGGCTGTTCTTCTTTACCCACCGCAGTCTTTGGCTGGGTGAGGACCTGACAAGATTGGACCAGGATCCCTTTGCCTGGCTCTCCTCTCCTCTCCTCTGTGGCCTATATTTGCTCTTTCCTCAGTTTAACACCAGTTCAGCTGTCATATTTTACACCTGCCCTTCTGCAACATCATCCAGTCCTGATTGGAGGAGAGGCACGCGTCAGTGCAAACAACTAGCCAATCGCAGCCCTGACTGGTTTCCTGATAGCGTTAGCCATGCTTTTCATAGTGAGCCAGGACTCTCCCCTCCCCTCTGGAGGGATTAAACAGTCAGCTAGCTGCCCACCCCCTGACCTTAACGGCCTGGTTCACCATGATAAGGGCATACCTGTACTGGTGTGGGTTTATATGAAATAACTGATGTAGCTCTAGCTAATTACAGCTGAAAAAAAATCTGAGTTTTAATACTGGGTACAAATCAGTGACCTTTTGCTCACAAGGTGCCATTTTCGCTGAACTGCTATTAACCACCTTTCTGATTTTCCAGTACCTTCATCTTCACAGATAGTGTCCTTGCCCCACAGCCCCATCCTGCCCCCATTCTGCTCCCTTCGCTCCGCTTTGGTCTCCAGTGTGCTAGACGGACACCACTGGCACTGAAGCACTTGATCTGTTTCAAAGTGTAATTCAACCTTGCTGCCACACAAGGGCACTGTGACACTGTGAATGCTGAGCGGTGCGACACAACACTGGCACTGTGTGCTTCAAACCCAATACACTGAAAGTCAAACAAAAAACCTCTACAATGTCCCAGAGGTTTGAAAAGAAATTTAGCTTTAGTAAGAAAAATGGTACAATAAGCTAGCATCACAATCGATAACGATCAATTCCCGGACAAAAAAAACGATAAAAAATGGTAACAGTCAGTAATATTGTGCCCCCCCATGAGTAGAAGGGGTTGATTTTTGATGGGTATATACATGCCCTCATTCCTGTAGGAGCGTCCAAAGCCAACGGCAACCAAGGTTTTCTTCATGTGTCCTCAATGAACACACCAGGAAGCAATGGGAGTGGCCATATTGCCTCAACCAATCGCAAGCGGGCTGTCAGGTGTCCAATCAAACACAGCTGGTGTGCTCGGTGGGGGTATGGCAGCTGTTAATGGAAGCTTCAGATACGCATGGACGCATCTCTAATGCCTTATCAGCATGGTCCAGCCCTAGGGTTTCTACTGGGTCCCCATTGCGACAGTTGCTGTTGCGGTCGACACCCCCCTTCCCACAAAGGCTGCCAGGCGTGAGACTGTGTGGCGGGCAGGGGAGGGGCTTAAACTCGACCTCACCGTAACGGCAACGCATGTAGTTGGAGAACGCGCGCCGGTAGGTCTTGTTGAAGAGTGTGTAGACCAGAGGATTCACCCCCGAGGAGATGTACCCCACCCAGACGAAGACGTTGAGCAGCTCGGCCAGTAGGGGGCCATTGCACGAGGCGCGGCAGAGCACGTAGGTCACGTTGGTGATGAAGAACGGGCACCACATGACCAGGAAGAGGAAGAAGACCACGCCCAGGACCTTAGATGCCCGCCTCTCATTCTTAATGGCGTTCATCATGCCCCGCCTTCCATAGGAGCTGGCGTCCCGGCCAGCAGGGGAGCTCATCTGTGAGGCCGCCCCCGAGCTGGGGAGGATGGAGATACTGTCGGGGGGTGTGACACCGGGGGTGGGCTCCACCTTTAAGCAGATGAGGCTGGGCCGCCGCGTGGGCAGGGCCTGGGCAGGCGGGACCGGCTCCTCGTGCAGGAAGACGGAGGCCTGTCGCTGCAGCACCTGCACGGTCAGGCAGTAGGTCACCACCATGATGACCAGCGGGATGAAGAAGGCCACGAAGGAGCCCACCAGCATGAAGCGCTCCTCGTTCAGCGCGCAGCTGCCATTCACAAACACCTGGTCCTCATTGTGCAGGCCGATCACAGGGATGGGCATGGAGATCCCTAGCGGAGGGGGGTCAGAGAGAAGCGGGCAACAATATGCAGGGGTAAGTGCCTATATTGGCTCCCATAATACCGCATTTCCATTAGTCTTTCCTGAATGGATAGCTATTGTCTAATCAAAGTCCTTCAGCTAATAACTACCACACTCTTCCTGCCCATCAATCAATCACAGATCAGTCTGATAACGAGCTTTTCAGCTACGTAAAAAATAAAGAAGGCAAAGGAAACAGCCAGGGAGTTACACAGAGCCACGCTAGCGACCCCGCCATGAGCGATTTGTGTCAGGTCTTTAGCTCCCCCTCCCGCTTTGAGGTTATCGCTCCAGGCAGTGCTGTCAGGACCTATCCACATGCTATGCCGGGCCTTTCTCTTGCATGCTCCTATGTGGGGGGGAGGGGGGGTGGAACTGGGTGGGTCGGGTAACGAGACCCCTTGCTTTGCGTGTCCCACGGCTGCCGCACCTTCATGTCTCATAGCTATACACATAAGCCTATGGCCTTCAATCCGCTGTTCATTGCATGATAAAAACAACTTTTGAGTCTGTAGCTGTACCTGGCCATTGAAATGACGCCTATGGAAAGAACCAGACAGCGCTAACACCAAGCATGGACCGCAGGGCGGACACTGAGGGGCACGCTCACCTACGGAGATGGTCCACACCGCCGCGATCTTCAGCTTGGCCGTGGTGCGGGAATTGAAGCGGCTGTGCTGGATTGGGTGCCGGATGGCCACGTAGCGGTCCAGCGAGATGGCGCACAGGTGCATGATGGAGGCCGTAGAGAAGAGAACATCCAGGTAGATCCATATGGGGCACAGGGCACTCGGCAGGGGCCAAACGTAGTCTGGGAGGGGGAGAGAGTCACAGGAGAGTCAAAGCGATGATTCAGAGGAGAGTGCGGTGCAGTGTTAAAAAGTAACTCTCACTGACACAAGGTGGCGCCACACAGCTCGATGGGATTGGAAATGCTAGTCTTGCCAGCTCAGTGCAGGAGCTCTCTGCAAATGCAGGGGTTTGCCTGCCCAGTGTTCTCTGCGATTCATGTCTTAGTGAATGTGATTTTAGTGACTCCTCAAATGAAATCAACAGAATCCAGCAGAATAGGTATGGGGCCATGACTGGATTAAGAAAGGATTACGCTCAGACTTTTGTGGCAGAGAAATTCCTCACTGCGCAGATTCCTCCTTGACAATTTTTGTAGATGATTTATGGCCTTAGATACGGACTGTACATCATTTCAAGAATTTGTGCTATAAACGTTGGGGCTGAGATTAAGGGATGCTAAGATGGACATAAATCCAGCAAGGGCCAGAAGTGGCTAGCAGATAGCAGTGGGGCAAATTCAATCAGCTGTCTCTGAGGACACAGCCAGGGTGGAAACATCCTGCTTTATTTTCTCAAGTAGCTTTGAGAACTTGAACAAATTCAAACCTACAGTGTCCAAGGCCCCTACCCTTACCAAGCCGAGGGACACCTGTAAATCTCGCACGAACAAAGCCTGCAGAGACTGTGACTCCCACATAAACAGAGCTTGCAGGGACTGTGACTCACATGTAAACAAAGCCTGCAGAGTCTGGGACACCCACACAAACAAGCCTGCAGACTGTGACTCCAAAATAAACAAAGCCTGCAGAGACTGTGACTCACACACAAACAAAGCCTGCAGAGACTGTGACTCCCACACAAAGCCTGCAGAGTCTGGGACACCCACACAAACAAGCCTGCAGACTGTGACTCCAAAATAAACAAAGCCTGCAGAGACTGTGATTCCCACACAAACAAAGCTGCAGAGACTGAGACTCCCACAGACACAAAAGCTGCAGACTCTGTTCACCCACAGCCAGCTCTGTGTGGTTCTTCCCATAAAAGCAAAGGTAAACCTCTAGCTTTGATTGCTAACCCACTTTAATAAACCTCCGGTATGTGTGTTTTATAGCTCAGCTGTATGAGGATCACAGATCACAGACCATGCCCAGAGATGGCTGTATGCCGCTGCTGAGTGCACACATTCAGCCAACCTTGCCCCTTCTGTGCCCCCCATCCTCTCCACACACATTACCCACCACCTGGATAATGCACATTTGATCTGTCCACCTTCCTTAGCGAAAAAGGACTTTTAATGTTTTTGATGTTTTATTCAGAAAAATGCCGCAGAACTGGGGTGAACTGGGGGCGGGAGGGGTCCTCAAATACGAAAGGCCAAAGAGCCCAGACCATCTTGACATAAAGGGCTCAGGCTGGTGATCTATCGTTGAAAGTGGTAGATCCATTCACACACACTCTCAGACTGGGGTGGGAGGGTGGGCTCTTTCTGGGAGCTGCCGCCGATTTGAGTCATGCACTGCCTCCTTTACCCATGGAACGTGACAAGACTGAGGAACGTGATGCTGAAACAACAATGCAAGGGGAGTGAGAGAGACACGGATGGGGGGGGAGAGGAACAGAGAGAGAGAGACACAGATGGGGGAGAGGAACACAGACAGAGAGACACAGATGGGAGGAGAGGAACACAGACAGAGAGACACAGATGGGAGGAGAGGAACACAGACAGAGAGACAGATGGGGGAAGGAGGAACACAGACAGAGAG